AATGAGTTGTTCGAACATATAAATTATTCTTTATCCAAGGCTGTGAAGGACCAGTTATTAAGGCAGGGGTTACAGAAGAATTCTGCTCATATGGAGTTGTTGTCTAGGGAAATCTAATAGGGTGATTTCCCTGACTCTACTGTAATTTTGTCTTCCACCACATGCACAACAAAAGTTTATTCTAAACTCAACAAAGATCTTTTATTACTAATTCAGTGACTGAGAACTCATCAGGGTAGTAAGTAATGGAAGCTGAGTTAATATTTCTCCATTCAGAAAAAACCTCAGTGACAAAGAACCCGCATTGGCTCAGTGAGTGCTGTTATGAGAGGGAGGAATAGGAGCAGAGGATAAACCTATGTTTCCCTCCTTGATGCGGACATGCCAGCCATCAGATTCAGGTGCAGAAAGCCAGGAGTTGAAGAAATTGTTTCCTTTCATGCAGTGCGTCGGAGGATTAGTGATACCTTAATTAATCTACTTAGACTATTGTGAATTGTGGACTCTAGTGGACTAGGCAATGTACAGTAGAATGCAGGGTATGTGTTTCAGAGTGGAGCTGATGCTTTTAGCTGACATGCAAGTTGAGCTGTGTGCTCTGAATTTGTAATCTAGTGCTGTGTATCTGGTAGCCCAATTTCTGTGTGAAATTTTGTGCCAGTTTCGGTGCTGCTTTTATGCTAGTTTTGGCATTCTGTGTGGAGAAGTTCTGGACCAAGCGATGGGTGAGGACTCTAAGTGAAGCAAGGGAAGATTAACTGTAAATTATTTATTGACAGTGATGTATTTATTTTTAAGAAAGTCAAAATTGCTTGTTCAAGTCTATTTCGACATTTAGAGCTGTTTTCTTCTATGTTAAATATCCAATTTGATTGTAATGTGTTTCAGGATTACAAATAAGTCAAAGTTCAGATTTTGATGATCTATTTAACTCAAATGATGGGGAAAGTTAATTTCAATTCCCATTAGACAGACAATGGTCACCATTATTATCCTTCAGTAACTAAGAATTAGTAAGAGTGATGCAATATTATTAGGTTTGGGTCAATTATATACTTTTATGTTTAGACGGTCATCAATTTGGGTACTGAGGACACTCTGTAACTACCCAAGTACGAAAGTATGGACTAAGTGACAACGAAAGCAGAACCACTGCAGAGACTGACCGCAGGCTACCTGGTTCCTCAAAACCTCATTTGCCAAGGACCAGTTGAAGCTACCTACCACTTTGATGATTAGGGTTTAAATTTTAGAGATTGTGTTCTAGTGAATGTAACTGCAACTCTGTAAAAAAGAGAAACTTGTAGTATTTGTTACGAAATGCATAATAAAAACTGACTAAAGAAGGCCAAAATGCAATATAAGTAAAACACTCAAATCTTTTGGGAGTATTTTGATTGCCTAAGACTACGATCTGGCGCTATTACTGTCAAGTATTCAGTCAAACATGAACATATCCTTTCACTTGAACATTTTAACAGTGAAATCTGACTGTTGAAACTTTCATTTTATTTTGTATTTTAAATTTGGAATATTTGTAAATACTTTTGGAACCAAGTTATAAATAAGAATTCATTTAAACAGAATAATGTGTTTTAATGTCCTCGACCACATGTTGCTATCCCAGTTGTGAACTGTGACAATTTTGGTCTGCAATGGTGCTAACAAAAAGAGGAAACACATGGCGGCTGCCTACCTAAGCATTATGGGATAGACAGCGCACTACAGTTGATTGAAATTGTTAGTGAATGGCATAATGGCCCAAGGAAAATGTGCACCTGTATGGTAATCTAGGTAGTACATTATCCAAGGAACTTGTCACTGGACCCGTTCTGTAATACAAAACAGCTTTAGCTGCTTCATTTTATTTTTCGAAAAATAAAAATAAGTAAAATTACGTATTTACATGCACACAGGATGGAAAAGCCTCCCCCAGAAAGTATAAAGTAAACTGGGAAAAGGGAGGACGCTACAAAATTTGAAAATAAGGAGCTTTTGATGTTAACAGTTGTTATTACATGTTGCTCTATTTTCTGTCTTAACTGAAGGGTGTCATTGGCTGAATGCTGATGTTCCTTCACAGCCCTTCTGGAGAATGTGCAGGGGCAATTCCTCCTCAACCTCCTCAAGGCGCTCACATTTCTCAGTAAGCTGCTTGTGGAGTTGTTCCTGCCGCTTGGCGTCAGCCATAACTTGCTCCTGTAAATTGGTAGGGGATGATTCCAAAGTTGCCTCATGCTGAACCTGAATCTGGCACAACTGTACGTCAAGCTTGTGACAGGCATTCTCATATATGTCAAAGAGTTTCTTGTTAACTCCTAGGGAAATATGCAGACTGGGAAGAAAAAACAATTCGACAGTCTCCCCACAAAGATTATCCTTTAACAGCCTGTCTTCTTGTTTTCTCATTTGCTGCTCGGAACAGATTGCAGTGTTGCTGGTGCTCTTCATGTATCTGCAAAACAAATATCTCTTTCTATTGTATATAAAGTACAAAAATTCCATGTGACTTCTTTCTTGAAATATATGTACAATTCTAAATATATGTTCTGGAGCTTGTTTGAACGTGCAATAGTGACTTGAGAAATGTGCAATATTTTAAGGCAGTTAGGTATTTTTGTACACTGGAAAACATGAAATACCTTTCTGTTGTATATGAAATACAAAAATACCAAACTTTCAGGAAAGTAAATGTAAACTTTGAAATACATTTATCACAGCTTGTTTGAACAAGCAATAATGACATTGGAAATGTGCAATATTTTAAGGCAGTCTAACTTTTTTACTCTGGAAAAAAATCTATTTCATATTAAGGAAGAATGTAAAAAAGCATGCAGCAAAGCACACATACTTCAAATACTTCTGCATTTCTCCTTTTTCCTCATAATGCATGCACTGTGAAATGAATCAAGTGTCAATATCTACACGTATGTTTACCTTCTGAATTTCCTCATTTGGTCCCAGCCCACATGGCAATCTTTCATCATGGCTAGTGCATCATCTGCTGTCACGGTTCTGTTCTCGCCTGTGTTGCTTGGCAGGCAGCACATTTCATCAGTATGCTGGATTTCAGCAGCCTCTTTGCTGACAGCAAGTCTGAATTCTGATATTTAGGCAGTTCGCTGTCACTTATATGCAGCTGTGATGTTGTTGATTGACTTCGATGGCACAGTCACTCTTTAAATGTGAGCTGGCTGGAAAACAAAATGCATCATCATTGTACATGTAAAAGTATTATACTTTACAGTCAAATTTGTGGATCCCAGATGTAAATATTTCCTTTATTCCCTTGGCCATTACATGTACATCATGTAGAGTATAATATACTGTGGGGTGTTACTTACATGATATGTTAACCATAACCCACAGGGTTTGCTAAAAATAACATTAATTTTTTGGAGAATTTTATGTAAATCAACCTAGATATATTCAAATGAAACATTGGCCACAAACACCAAGATTTGAAAAACAAACATGATATGCTCCTACTTATGATACACATGGGCAACTTACATGTGTTGCCTTTACTTACTCTGCCTCTAGTTCGTATTGGTGGAGCCTTCCATGGGTGAGTGTTCTTTAGCTTGTGCCATATCCACTTGTCAGTGGCTTCTTCGATTTCGCTAGGAATTGGCTTTCCAGCTTCATGTATTTCAGCCAGTTGTTTGAGTAAGCGCAAGCTGCACTTGTTGCATCCAGACATGCAAATTGCTCTTTTGTAGGGCTTACATGCAATCAGTTGGGTGGAGCCACTTCAGTGTGCTTGGGCAGGGCTTTTCTGACAATCGTGGTTCTGTAACCATTCAATTTTTTCAAAACTGTTGAACCTGGTACAGATTACATTCAGATTTGCCAGCTGAAACTTTAGGACCCTGGGACTTCCGGATCATGGAATCTGGTTTGGTGATTGCATATGGGACAATTTATTACCTCATTGCCTGCATGCTTGAACAGAATGTCAGATATTTTGCACAGTAATTGTGTTGGCATGGTGTTTGCACACATGTGCCACTTGTGAAAAGTGACTGCTCCCATTCATGGCCAATTATGTCAAATTCTGCCGGATATTCGATTCGATTTAGAGTTAAGTGCTGAAAATTGTTCTCCTCAGACAGTAAAAGGGAAGAGGCAAAGAAAGGCCAGCGGCTTGTGTTGCTTATGGTCTTCCACGCTAGACTCTGTTTGTTTCTTGTGCAAATCACATACAAAACATCTGCCTGTTCTTGTATGCTTCGGCCAAGTCCTTTGAATGTGCTGTGTGTTACTCAGAGTACACAGATTGTAACACCTTGTTCCAGATTTACTGTGCCTTAGTTTTCTGCAGCACCTGTCACACAAGTTTGGAGGATGCTGGTCTGCACTGTCCTCCCAAGTACTCATTTCAAACGTGTTAAACAACTCTTTTCTGTATTCACGAACTTCTGGAATTTTGCTTCTTGATCCATGTAGAGTGATTTTTAATCCTGTTTGCAAAAACTCTGCAGATTTTATCAATTGCATTCCTGATGAAATTTGAAACTCATGGCTCTTGAAAAACATTGAAGGATAACCTAAATAAAACAACAGGTTCAAGCTAAGGAATCCTTATGTTGTGTTTTACTTTCCCGAGGACATCCCTGGTATCCAGAGTTATGCACGCAAGGCTGCGGTCTTCTAAGGAACCAACAATGTATGCAATGATCGGACTGTCTGCGCTGCTGTTTGCCTGGAGTTTGAGAGTGTATTTTATAAGGCTGAAAACAAAGGCAAACAAAATGTCCTATACTTTTATTCAGCAGGAACAAATTGAAAATATTATGATCTTCAATGGTGTAAATTTAAAACTGGAAATTTAGCCCTTTTCTGTATTTAACATTTATCGCAAAGTTCCGATGAATTTCGGGGGGTCACCATGACTTCAAGAACATTTGTATCACAAAAATACCACAAAAATGGATGGAAAAGGCCGTGCACATGACAACCAACAAAGTAGAATCTGGTAAAAAGACACCAACACTTACTGGATACACTTTTAGTCTCCAGTTCTGGCCAGAAGTGATCAGTGGAGGACTATACACTGGATCTGCCTTATGCTGCAAAGCTCTAGTCAACCACCAAAATGAAACAAGGTAGAAAAATATTTTATGGAGTTAGTGTGAAAGGAAACATGCTATACTCAGCCTTCTACAATTACATGTACGGTGCATTGCAACTGAAATTAACCTCAAATTGGGAAATTCTCTTCGACCTTTTTTTGTCCTCACAGGGAATTCATTGCCAATTTTCAACCATGATAAACTTTTCCCAAGGTAAAAAATTCTTCAACAGATTTTCACACAAGACATTTTCACCGATTTTCCAACAAGAGGGAACAGATTTTCACAGATTTTCCCACAAGTGGAAAAAGATTTTCAAACGTTTTCCCCCCAATTTGGAAAACATTTCATAGACTTCCTCACATATGGGAAATTTTCCCCAACTGAGAAAGGATTCTCATAGATTGTCTCACAAGGGGGAAAATATTTTTAAGCCTTTTCACTCTCAAGTGGGAAATCATTTTCAATCGTTGTGAAAAGCTTTCACATGGTCCAGTGCAGCACGCTAGCAAGCATCCCTCGTTTTCCAGCATTTAAGTCTGTTTCAATGGTACTACAATATTCTTTGAATGGTGACGTTAGAGGGCACCAGCAATTCTAATGCCATATATGCCTGTGCTTTCTTGCAAGTTTCCATGAACATTTTTGTCTAATTCAGTGACAACTAAAGCATTGGAGACTGCCCCAACTATGCATCTGCCTATCTTCCAGATTTCATATTGTCGAGTTTGTATTCTAGATTTTGAGACAATCTTGGGCATTTTTTGTTCATTGGACTCACAAGTAGACATATCGGCAGCATGATTTTCACTGTCAGTTAGTAAAAGCCTTGTTGCCTCCGACCAGTGTGGATTATTTTTATTAATAAGCATTTGATTCAGAAACAGACCATATCAAGCCCTTTCACACAAAAAATTGTTGTGACAAAAATGTTTCCCCCTTTTTTGTCTTATTTGAGGCTCTAAAGGACATTTTTTGAACAGGGAAAGTTAAGCCCAGTTTGTGTTTTGGCATTTGTGACTCCGAAGGAGAAGGCCCAAACTTCATAGATCTGGTTCCCATCCCATGGACATCACGTGCACAGGACCAGATGGCAAAAAGACTATTATTCATGGGCAGTATAGTTTTGAAGACTGTCATTTTGAATGGTGGCAACAGCAAAGCCAAAGGTGAACATTAGTAATGGTTCCAATTGTGACACTGAGGCAATTTCATTGCAAAGGACCCATTTTTGGCACTTGTGTGAAAGAGCCTATGTTCAACAAAGCTATTCAACTGAACTGTAAACACACAAGAGCACACACTTATCCTTGAGTACCTTTTACAAAAGGCTGTTCATGTAACGAAAATATTAATTTCAGAGTACATTTTTTAAATCACTGTGCATGTTGGTGCTGAAACTTTAATAATCATACGTTAACCACTTCATGCCGGGGCATTTTTTCAATGTTGATGATCCTGGGCCGGCATGACAATCATTTTTTCCGTTCTAAAAATCCTTCAAAAATTCATCATTCCATTTAACGGTCGTTTATAGCCGCATGAAGTAATCTTTAGGCACTACTCTAAGTTGATAGGTGACCTTCATTGAAGTCCGAGTATTTCAGCCAGACCTGCAGCCTTGTAAACAGAGCCCAGATTGTGCGGTGTTGTGTAACTGTCTTTTGTTCACGAACCTGGCTCAGTGCACTGCTGACCTATTTTCAATAGGGGCCAGATTAGTGTGCCGCGGTGCTGTGTGGCTCATTGTTGCGGTGGTGGAGTGCTTTTGTCCCCGGTGGTAATCCGCTAACTCTCAATGCCCAAACCCTAGTATACGGTTTCAAAACAAGGCTTTTGAGAGTGAAAAATGTCGGTAATGCCAGCAGCCTGGTCTTTTGTTACAGGGCCCTGTTTCCTTTGTCCGAGTTCGGAGACCCCGGCCACACATACATGTATAAACCATACGTCTCCAATTTCGGAGCCCCCGGCAGGAAGTGGTTAAAATGTGTTCAAGTACTGGATATCTACATAGGCTCTTCTTTCTTCAACATTTTAACATTCCAAAACAGGCGAAAGTACTTACGCAAAAGCATTAAGGACAAATCTACTGCTATCATAAGCAGGTACCAATTCACTGCAATAAACCAAAACATCACAATGACTACATTTTCAATGTTATAGAGACCATTATCTTATTGACTGCCACAAGCCACCAAAAACATTTTGTTGCCAATCTTCTCAGATTTTGAAAACATTTATAAATCCTTTTACTTCATTTCAAATATGCGTAAATGTGTATGTACCTCAATATGAACTAATTAATAAATTTTACAACAATGCAAATTATTAGTTTTGATAGATTGAGCACACAACTTAAATCATGCAACCTTTGACAAAAATGCCACCAACATTTAAAGATAAACACTCTTTACCACTACTGAACTACTTCCATTTTGCAGAAAACTCTGTTATCAACGTGTTACTGTGTTCCACACAGACCGGGAAAATCACAATTCTTGAATACCATCCATTGTGCATCCCATTATAGCCCAACCCCCCAAAATAGAAAGTCTCACCTCATGAAATCAGCAGGGACAGGTGCAGTAACAAAGGACGCCATTGGCTTACGATGTACCTGGGTAAACATCTGTAAAAGCTCACCACTCTTGGCAATTAATTCGCTCTTAGTGCAAGATCGCAACTGATGTTCCACCTCCTGCAGCAGAGACTCTAACAGTTCTGTCTCCTGCGTAAGTGAATTTTTCTGACCTGTTCATCGAAAACCAAGCAAAATGTACACTGAAGTGCTTTGTGGATTTTAACAAAAAGGACACATGATCTGGCAATGTGTATTTTACAAGGGAAGTTGCCTGTGGTGGACATAAATGAATATACATGTCCACATGTTTCATTTTAATAAGCCGAATACCTTGTGCCATGTAACTAATTTGTATAACATTTACATGTACAGCCCCCATAATCTGACAAGCATCATGTTTCATATTCTGCATTTATCTCTGAATTCAGCAATTTTATACAAGAAAATGTGCTATGTAGTATTACCGAGTATACCAGTTGTATTTACGGGAGATATTAATGCTTATGTTGATGTCACTGAGGGTTCTGATTCGATGTCTTTCACTACCTTGATCGGTTGTGTCCAGTATGTTGACTTTAGTACGTACATGGGGCCAGTTTGTTTCACATGGATCTGGATCTTGTTCACTGATCCCATCGCTGGTTTGCTCCACACATTAGCAGGGTTTTGGTATCAGTGAACCAACAACACCATCAAAATCCATGTGAAACAAACTGGCCCAATGTCACACACTTGACCTAATTATATCACTTGAACCAGATGACAATACCTTTGGCTACCCACGGTCAAGTTTTCTTGTAACAGATCATTATTCACTAATGTGCTTGCTTAATTGCAGTAAACCATCACATTCCACAAGAAACATTTCTGCAAAGGTGAATAGTGAATCATTTATGAAAGACACTGTTGAAAATTTACACTTGCATTTACATCCAAAAGTGCCTTTGGCCAACAATGAAATTAGGAAAGAAAAGAGGGAATGGAAAAAAGTAGAAGAGCGATGAGTCAAAATAAGTTGCCTCATGATCATGAGAGAAGCAAACTGACCCACAAAAGAACTCTTTTCATGATGAATAATGCTTGTAGCACATGTTACTCCAATATGATACTGGAAAATGGCAAGAATCAAAAGAAACTGCTTAACCACTTAGCGCCGGTTGACCCCATATGGGCCACATTTTTCTGATCCACACAGACTTATGTGGGGTACGGACTGACTGCTATGAGTCACCATAGGCTGTAAACCTCCTATTGTGAAGTACAATGGCATGAAGTACCACAGCGTCCAAGGCCAGCCTGGCCGACGAACGCGTCGCCCAGCCTGCTCACTGTTTGTTGTTCCTGGCAGGGCTGAGGGCGAATAAAGAAGCTGTTATGTAACACCATTATCAACATAACAATGGTATTTTTTTAAGCAACTGGCCACGCTTCACTACCTTTTGACTCGCATTACATGGCATGCATTTCTTGGGTGATTTTTTCCTATAAAAGTATAGTTAATACGAATGTCAGATCAAAATCATTAAAAAGCGCCCGGCAGCCTGCAATTCAAGAGAATTTTTTACCCTGCGTAAAGTGGTTAATGTGACCAAACTATTGCTTAATATGACAAAACAATACATTAATATATCCCTACCTGAGTCAAATGACTTTGTAGAAGTCTGCACTGGTAAGCAAGAGGTTGCGGGTTTGAGTCCCGCCCGAGTTCGCTTGTGGTTTTCTTTTCGAGGGCATGCACTGAGTATACAGTGTTAAATACACGCCGGGAAGGGCAAAATCCAAAATTAATTGGTAGAAGATCTAAGCTATTTTTTTTTTCAGGACGAAATGTTCAACCTTCATGCAACTACTTTGTCAACTGTAGCCGATAAGTATATAGCTTCTCTGCCCACAGATCATCTGGTGTATTTTGATGCTGAATTCACCAACATGTTTGTGATAACCTGTTACCTGCTACCCATCTGCTTACCGACGTTTTCATAGCACCGAAACTGCATTGCTATGAATCAAGAGTGATCTCCTATTAGCAACAGACTGGCAAAGCTGCCCTGATGTCCACCATGCCCATGCAAAAGAACAGGTGATGGAAATGTGGCAATCTGTCTATACAAATAGCTGTCATTACACTACAATAGCCGTACTCGCACACAACCCTACAGTTGCACGTTGAAAAACATCAATGTTGCAAGAATATTTCTGCAAGTTACAAAACTTATTCTCTTGTCTGTGTGTGTATTTTCTATGTTCACAAGTTTAATGTGAGATTGTTTTGTTCGTACTTGAAGTGAGCAAGCTTCCACAAAATTTCCTAGTTAATATTACCCACTCGTCTGGATGCATCATGGACGCTTACCTCACGATACATGGACACTGTTGGCCAGTTTGCCATCATGATTACCTGACTGGCGTTGTGCAGAGTGATATAATTTGTTCATAATTCTTAAGATTCGTCAATTGTATTTACAGAGATTAAGGCAATTGCTATCACTTTTTGTGGCAATTTTTTTGGTAGCTTTTGTCACCATTCATGCCATTAAATCAGCACACACACACACAACCCCCCCCCTAATTTTTTGACCTAATAACCCTATTTTTGACAGGCATGTAATCAGAAGCAAAACTACTTTTTGGGGCCTAAATATGGATGACCCAAAAGGGTCTCAATTCTGAGTTGATAAAACTCGAATCCAAAAGTGACTAAAGTCACATAATCTGCACTGTTCAGAGGACCGGTTGACACTTGCCCATTGTTATAGTAGAACTATAATTGTAGAGAGTGCTGTTCAAGATGGAAGCAAGCTCTCATTTTTTTTCTCTGCCAGTTTTAGTTTTATATCCTAATTTATCACTTTTTCTGTGTGCTATCCATAAATTTCTTTACTACTGCTGGCCCTTGAAGCAGCCACAGACTGAGTAAGCATTTATTTTGACAGCAGTCAACAAACCACAGCCATGAGTTTTGTGATTTTTGCCATGATCTGGTGTTTTTTTGTTGTTGTGTCCTCTACTTGCTTGCCCAAGCCACTTTTATCATCTAACAGCTGGAGCTATACGGCTTTGTTTGGAAATACAAAGCAGTTCTCCACACTGGACAACATGTGCTACAATATTCCTGCTGTGGCTGGAAACCAGCCATCAAGCCATAAAAGCTTCCATAATATAGCAAGTACTCATGACAATCTGCTGCAAATTCACATGAGACAACATTGTCAAATGAATTTGACTTGATTCTACGTGTTGATTGCTCATAGTATTAAGAACAAGACTTATGAATTTGTCAATTTTGTCATGGAGAGATGTGGCTAACTTCAAATGACCTTGCCATTGTTGCTGGTTTAACTCCTAATTGATACTCGTTCCTTCACATACCATGAGCCAATAGGTGGGGGAGGTGTTGGCTTGTTGCACCAACATACCATCAGAGTTAAGACCCGAAAACGGGAAATGACTTTCAGTTCATTTGAAGCCCTAGAGACTGAGTTGGTGAGTAATGGTACCTCAACGCATTACATGATTATTTACCACTGCCTGGGTCTTCCTCATTTGGTACCTTCCTTGAGGAACTTGCAAGTCTTGTGGATAGCTTCTCGTTTGACCGTTCATTTCAACATTCATATGGACAGTCTTTCAGCATTAACATCCTATAAAACAGTTTACAGATCTGTTATCTGCACATGGACTGCAACAACACACAAATAAATTAACTCATCAATGTGGCTACCTTCTCGATCTACTCATTTATTTACCGGCCCATATGTTTTGTGGTGTGTAATAGCTACCTCGCTGAGGGGATTTGGCCCAGTGTCAGAGACCTCTAAGAAGCACATGAAGGCAAGTGTGTATACTTTTAGTTGAGCTTGCATCATCAGCATTCATTTGAGGACTAGCCAGGTTGATTAAATGCAGTGAGACCAAGTTGGTGTGAAGTCTGGTGGTTAACGGGCAGGCTTGCAGATACACAGACCCAGGCTCACTTCCAGCCCCTTGCATTTCTCATCTTTTTTGGCCACCCTAAACTGGGGCAAAAGTCTCATTTTGATTTTTGTAACTACTTTCCTTCTGATCTGGGTAAATCTTGTTATGACATAAACCAAGATGTATTATGCATGTACATGTAGATGAAAACTGGGATGACTTGTTTTTGTTTTAATGAATTTTAAAAATTGTTGTGATTTCAACGTTCTTGCCAACATCTGTTGTTGTGGACTGTATGGATGTGCTGCTACCAGTCATTACTTAAATCATTAATATTTCATTGACATCTGGTGTTTTCCCTGTGGACGGGAAAGAATCCCTTGTAACTCCAATTTAAAACTGTTGGAAAATGACCGTCCTGTTAGCAATCTCTCATTTATATATCCAAATTGGTTGAGAGGGCGGTACTTAACCAGGTTCACAATTACACGACCATTAGTAATTTGTACCCCCTCTCCAATCAGCTTACAGGAAAAACCATAGCACTGAAACTACACTTATTAAGCTGAATAATGATGTTCTGTTGAAAATGAACTTCAAACAAGTTATTTTTCTCATTTTACTCGATCTTAGTTCTGCATTTGACACAGTGGATCATTCCATTTTGCTGAATAAAATGAATGTTAAATTTGGCATATCTGGTATAGCCCTTGAATGGTTTGTATCGTATTTATCTAGTATAAGTCAACATATACTTATACAGGGTGATACATTGGACAAATAGTATTATCAATCAAACTGAAGCTATTTCTGCAATGGAAAGCTGTGTTACAGATGTTAAAGCTTGGATGTTTCATAACAGACTTATGTTAAATGATAGTAATACAGAATTTATTGGGATGAAACAACAATTATCTAAGATCAACATTCCTTCCATTGCTGTTGTCGAATCTAATACCATGCCAGTACTTCACGTTAGGAATCTTGGTTCGTGGTTTGATAAAAATATGTCAATGTCTACTCATAGAACAAATCTCCTCTGCAGCTCTCTATCATCTTCATAACATTAAATGTATTAGTATTTATCAACAAGATCACTTACAATTTTAATCCACGCATTTGTAACCAGTCATCTTGATTAATATAATGGACTGCTCTATGGGTTGCCAAATTGCTAGTTGTCCAAGTTACAAAAAATTTAAATGCTGCAGCTTGGCTGGTTACTAATTCTCATGATGGCGCAATGTAACTCCTG